TTGCCGCCCTATATCTCGACAAATACTGGTGATAATTTTTTTGGGTCTGATTAATAACACACAGAAAACTGCCCTCAGTTTTAAAAAAAAAGTTTTTTTTTTTTAAATATTCAGAATGCTAGCAGTAAAAACATAGATCTATATTTGGACAGTTAAAGGGTTAAAAATAGGATAGATAACTACATGGGTGGGTGTGAGTTGAACCTGCCTAGTATGGACCAGTAGGCTTGTTGCAGTGCTCCTTCCTTCCATTTTATGCTCTTACTTTCTTATGTAACTGTGGGACATACTGCATTATATAAGTGGTACAGAAAAATAAGATTCATTTGCTTTGGTCCTCAATTCTAGCAGCAACTGCTCACTTACCAAGTGTTAAGTGAACCCCAGATATAAATACACTCACTGGGAGAATAATGTCTGCATCATCCCTAGGACTATATAAGTATTCTTCACCAATAATTGTGAATATAATTATCATAATAATAATAATAATGCTATAATCAACATCTAACAGCGCAAAGAGGAAATACATCCAGCACCAAAACAATACCATTACAACACTCAAGATTCATTACAATACGATATATCATACAGGTTTAAACATCAATTCTTTGCCCAAACGTAACTTGTTAAAGCCTAACCAATCCCAAATACTGTCTAAAAATAAGTATTTAACAGAATAATATAATATTTATTTTTCTAGTAGCTCATACAATGTTTTCAAGAATATCTAATTTCACTGGATATGTTGCATTCATAGAAAAAAGGCTAATCTTCAGTCCATCAGCCTGAAATCCTTATTCATACTATTCACACCCATCTAAACACTGAATAATAAAGAACTCAACCCTGGAAGCATAGCTATGTCACTTTGGTTATGACATGACCATGGTAACACACAAGTTCAAATTTCCTTAAAACAAATTCGTTGTGTAATATCATCTTACTATTAGACCTTTCCAATTCTAAGCCTATGGAAAGGTTTTTTCTGTAACAAAATTAAGCCTCAGAGAAACTATTAACTACAAAACTTTAATCGGATTCTTAAAAGTAGATTGAGCAATTTACATAAAATAATGCTTTTTAGTATCCCAAATCTAAAATACTGAATCATACTTTATAGGAGCAAGCTATTTTTACATGTGTTTGTAGAATATTACAGCTGACAAGAGATGTGGAATGCTTTTCAATTCTTTACACTTGACTAGTCAAATATGATAATGCGGTTCTGGCATGAAGTACTAGCCTGTATCTACACCTGAATCTTCCTGGGGATGATCTGGTGAAGTTATATGAATTGAAGTCCTTTTACTCTCCGATATGCTTGTGTTATTAGAGAGAGCTGAATGGTTCATGCGCATAACCAGAAGGTCTACAAGATGTTCCATCAGATTGGGCACTGAATCATAACCTAGAAAATTTGAATTAGTCAATAAAACAGCAAGGACAAACTGTAGAGGAATTCCCTGAGTTTGGAGTGGTTTTTCTTCTAAATGGCTCCAATTGCAACTTTCTTGCATAGGGAAAATCAATTAAGGTGTGTTTTTGTATACATGTACTGTCAACTGGGATGTTTTAAAATTCTTGTAAATACAGTATGGTTAAGACCTAAATGATGCCATATATTAATATATCAATTTGCATGAAATTTGCAACATTCCATGTTGGAACCATTACAGACATACATGAAAATTTCCATAAAGCTAGGGTTATCAGAAGCAGGGTTTGGAAAACAATGACACTGCTCCTAGTAACAATGAAAGAGCCCTCAGAAGACAGGAAGAAAAGAAGAGAAATGATAACTACAGTAATACCCTGCATAGTACAATTTTGAAAAGTAAATGTTTTGATAGTATGAATGATGATGAAATTATTCCTGTTTTGGGTCACCCTGCCTCAGTGGGAGACAGCTAGCACATTAAAAAAAATAATAATATAAATTTTATTTAACTGCATCATGCAATGTGAACATCACTATTGCTCCAGACTCCGAGCAGTGAAGTTGTGTAGTCTATTGGCAGAAAGATGGGCTAGTGCAAAGATGAGTAGTGGGGGAGTTGAAGAGGGTTGGATGAGTTTTAAAAATGCAGTATTAGAATGTGGGGCAGAAGTTTGTGGTTATAGGAGGGTGGGGGCAGGAGGAAAGAGGAGTGATTGGTGGAATGATGAAGTAAAGGGCGTGATAAAAGAGAAAAAGTTAGCTTATGAGAGGTTTTTACAAAGCAGAAGTGTTATAAGAAGAGCAGAGTATATGGAGAGTAAAAGAAAGGTGAAGAGAGTGGTGAGAGAGTGCAAAAGGAGAGCACATGATAGAGTGGGAGAGGCACTGTCAAGAAATTTTAATGAAAATAAGAAAAAATTTTGGAGCGAGTTAAACAAGTTAAGAAAGCCTAGGGAACGTATGGATTTGTCAGTTAAAAACAGAATAGGGGAGTTAGTAGATGGGGGGAGGGAGGTATTAGGTAGATGGCAAGAATATTTTGAGGAACTTTTAAATGTTGAGGAAGAAAGGGAGGCAGTAATTTCATGCACTGGCCAGGGAGGTATACCATCTTTTAGGAGTGAAGAAGAGCAGAATGTAAGTGTGGGGGAGGTACGTGAGGCATTACGTAGAATGAAAGGGGGTAAAGCAGCTGGAACTGATGGGATCATGACAGAAATGTTAAAAGCAGGGGGCCATATAGTGTTGGAGTGGTTGGTACTTTTGTTTAATAAATGTATGAAAGAGGGGAAGGTACCTAGGGATTGGCAGAGAGCATGTATAGTCCCTTTAATATAAAGGAAAGGGGGACAAAAGAGATTGTAAAAATTATAGAGGAATAAGTTTACTGAGTATACCAGGAAAAGTGTACGGTAGGGTTATTATTGAAAGAATTAGAGGTAAGACAGAATGTAGGATTGTGGATGAGCAAGGAGGTTTCAGAGTGGGTAGGGGATGTGTAGATCAAGCGTTTACATTGAAGCATATATGTGAACAGCATTTAGATAAAGGTAGGGAAGTTTTTATTGTATTTATGGATTTAGAAAAGGCATATGATAGAGTGGATAGGGGAGCAATGTGGCAGATGTTGCAAGTATATGGAATAGGTAGTAAGTTACTAAATGCTGTAAAGAGTTTTTATGAGGATAGTGAGGCTCAGGTTAGGGTGTGTAGAAGAGACAGAGACTACTTCCCAGTAAAAGTAGGTCTTAGACAGGGATGTGTAATGTCACCATGGTTGTTTAATATATTTATAGACAGGGTTGTAAAATAAGTAAATGCTAGGGTGTCTGGGAGAGGGGTGGGATTAAATTATGGGGAATCAAATACAAAATGGGAATTGACACAGTTACTTTTTGCTGATGATACTGTGCTTATGGGAGATTCTAAAGAAAAATTGCAAAGGTTAGTGGATGAGTTTGAGAGTGTGTGTAAAGGTAGAAAGTTGAAAGTGAACATAGAAAAGAGTAAGGTGATGAGGGTATCAAATGATATAGATAAAGAAAAATTGGATATCAAATTGGGGATGAGGAGTATGGAAGAAGTGAATGTTTTCAGATACCTGGGAGTTGATGTGTCGGCGGATGGATTTATGAAGGATGAGGTTAATCATAGAATTGATGAAGGAAAAAAGATGAGTGGTGCGTTGAGATATACGTGGAGTCAAAAAACGTTATCTATGGAGGCAAAGAAGGGAATGTATGAAAGTATAGTAGTACCAACACTCTTATATGGGTGTGAAGCTTGGGTTGTGAATGCAGCAGCGAGGAGGCGGTTGGAGGCTGTGGAGATGTCCTGTCTAAGGGCAATGTGTGGTGTAAACAGTATGCAGAAAATTCGGATTGTGGAAATTAGAAGAAGGTGTGAAGTTAATAAAAGTATTAGTCAGAGGGCTGAAGAGGGGTTGTTGAGGTGGTTTGGTCATTTAGAGAGAATGGATCAAAGTAGAATGACATGGAGAGTATTTAAATCTGTAGGAGAAGGAAGGCAGGGTAGGGGTCGTCCTCGAAAAGGTTGGAAGGAAGGGGTAAGGGAGGTTTTGTGGGCAAGGGGCATGGACTTCCAGCAGGCGTGCATGAGCGTGTTCGATAGGAGTGAATGGAGACGAATGGTATTTGGGACCTGACGATCTGTTGGAGTGTGAGCAGGGTAATATTTAGTGAAGGGATTCAGGGAAACCTGGCAGGCCGGACTTGAGTCCTGGAGATGGGAAGTACAGTGCCTGCACTCTGAAGGAGGGGTGTTAATGTTGCAGTTTAAAAACTGTAGTGTAAAGCACCCTTCTGGCAAGACAGTGATGGAGTGAATGATGGTGAAAGTTTTTCTTTTTTGGGCCACCCTGCCTTGGTGGGAATCGGCCAGTGTGATAATAATAAAAAATAATTTACGGAAACCGGTTATTTTTATATAGCAGGACTTGAGTCCTGGAAATGGGAAGTACAATGCCTGCAATATAAAGGAGGGGTTTTGGGATATTAGCAGTTTGGAGGGATATGTTGTGTATCTTTATACGTATATGCTTCTAAACTGTTGTGTTCTGAGCACCTCTGCAAAAACAGTGATTATGTGTGAGTGAGCTGAAAGTGTTGAATGATGATGAAAGTATTTTCTTTTTGGGGATTTTCTTTCTTTTTGGGTCACCCTGCCTCGGTGGGAGACGGCCGACTTGTTGAAAAAAAAAAATGTATACACAATTTTTTTCTTCATTATATATGGTATTGGTACCCATTTTATATGCAAATATGAATGGAAAGATGAATGGAAAGAGGAAATGTAATGACATTGAACATTCTAGTAAATTTTTTTTTTCAACAAACCGGCCGCATCCCACCAAGGCAGGATGGCCCAAAAAGAAAACCTAAAGTTTCTCTTTTTAAATTTAGTAATTTATACAAGAAAAGGGGTTACTAGCTCCTTGCCCCCAGTATTTTAGTCGCCTCTTACAACACGCATGGCTTACGGAGAAAGAATTCTGTTCCACTTCCTCATGGAGATAAGAGGAATTAAACAAGAACAAGAACTAGAAAGAAAACAGCAGAAAACCCAGAGGAGTGTGTATATATATGCGCATATATGTATGCGTAGTGTGACCTAAGTGTAAGTAGAAGTAGCAAGACGTACCTGAAATCTTGCATGTTTATAAGACCGAAAAAAGGACAGCAGCAATCCTATCATCATGTAAAACAATTACAGGCTTTTGTTTTACAATCACTTTGCAGGACGGTAGTACCTCCCTGGGCGGTTGCTGTTTACCAACATACTAGAAATTATAAAACATAATGATAGTGTATTGTACACTAAAATAGCACATGAGAAAATGAACGAAGCATTGATATGTGCCCAAACATTCCTCAACCCCCCTTTTACACACACACACACACACACACACACACACACACACACACACACACACACACACACACACACGGAGAAGATCATGAGGAGGAGAGTGGTGGAGCACCTGGAAAGAAACAAGTGTATAATCGACAACCAGCACGGTTTCAGGGAAGGAAAATCCTGTGTCACAAACCTACTGGAGTTTTATGACAAGGTGACAGAAGTAAGACAAGAGAGAGAAGGGTGGATAGACTGCATTTTCTTGGACTGCAAGAAGGCCTTCGACACAGTTCCTCACAAGAGGTTACTGCAAATGCTAGAGGATCAGGCACACATAACAGAAAAGGCACTGCAATGGATCAGAGAATACCTGACAGGGAGGCAACAACGAGTCATGGTACGTGACAAGATGTCAGAGTGAGCGCCTGTGACAAGTGGGGTTCCACAGGGGTCAGTCCTAGGACCTGTGCTGTTTTTGGTATATGTGAATGACATAATGGAAGGGATAGACTCAGAAGTGTCCTTGTTTGCAGATGTGAAGTTAATGAGGAGAATCAAATTGGTCAAGGATCAGGCAGGACTACAAAAAGACCTGGACAGGCTACAAGCCTGGTCCAGCAACTGGCTCCTAGAGTTTAACCCTGCTAAATGCAAAGTCATGAAGATTGGGCAAGGGCAAAGAAGACCGCAGACACAGTATAGTCTGGGTAACCAAAGACTGCAAACCTCACTCAAAGAAAAAGATCTGGAGGCGAGTATAACACCGAGCATATCTACTGAAGCGCACATCAATCAGAAAACTGCTGCAGTGTACGGACGTCTGGCAAACCTAAGGATAGAGTTCCGATACCTCAGTAAGAAATCATTCAAGACTCTGTACACCATTTACATCAGGCCCATACTGGAGTATGCAGCACCAGTTGGGAATCCACACCTGGTCAAGCACATCAAGAAATTAGAGAAAGTGCAAAGGTTTGCAACAAGACTAATCCCAGAGCTAAGGGGATTGTCCTACAAAGAAAGGTTCAGGGAAATCGGCCTGATGACACTGGAGGAGAGGAGGGTCAGGGGAGACATGATAATGACATACAAAA